CTCCGCGGCAGCGACCGGGGATGGAAGTCGCCCTCCCTGCCCACCCCCGGCAGGGAAAACCTCCGTTTGCCAAGGGAATTACGTGTCCTTCGCGCTTTACCCGTTACCGACTTTTTAATTTTTTTAGCCCACACACCATCACTTAAATAAATACAAATGTCCCGTCCCCAAAGACGGCGAGACCGAAAGTTGCCCCGGTCCCCGCCGGGCTTCAGCAGTTTTTCTGTTGTCCTAGTGGGACTCCTCTGTTAGCCGCGGGGAAAGGGAGTGAAGGAGCCAGAGCTGGACAAAATCCCTGCTGCCGGGATCCCTGCAATTCTTGAATTAACAAAGCACAAACAACCGTGGCTTGGAGCTCTCGGAGCGGGGCAACGACTTTGAACTGAGGAAAGCGGAGTTCCGCGGCCCTTCGGACGGGAGAGCAGGTTCTTCTCAGGGCGTCCTCTTGGTAGGAGACAGGCAGAAAACATGAAAAAGAAACTGTTTATAGTAAAATAAAGGAAATCCGTTTCAAGTACCCAGAGTAGAAGCAAGAACGTTAAAAATTAACAGCGGAAACAGGAAACACTTATCTGAGTAAACACCGTCTCAGAATTTCACCGTATTAAAATTGGGAGGGCGCGAGGTGCTCGCCGGGGCCGCAGCCACCCGCCTCCCGCTGCGGTACCTGGCGGCGGGGGCCGCTGCCGCCGCCCGCCCCGCGCCGGGGCTGGAAACCGGAGCCAGGCACGGCGAGACAACCCGATCCTCGTGAACCGGTTTGGTGGCAAAGATCGGAACTGCAGGAGTTCCTGCGTGGTGAGAGATGAACAGTCCAGAAGCGATGTTCGGAAGGCAGGAGCACAGCTCTCTGCCACCGGGGCGAAGGGACGGGCGGTCCGGGGCCGCGGCGAAGAAGAAAAGAGGCGCAGGGGTGGCGGAGTGGGGGGGAGGAGGCTTCGCCCCGGTACCGGCCCCGGGAGGACTTGCTTTGGCCGCGCTTTGAAAATCCCCAGCGAAACGAGCGAATCCTTGGGCAGCTGTACGGCGGAGGGGGTGACAAGCGGTACGTCCTCGGCAGCCGTGGGGGGAGAAGGACCAAGGGCACCGCTTCAGCTGGGAGGGCGCCTGCCGCTTGCTTTGCCTCCGCCTTCGGGTTTCAGTGCCCCCCTTCACTATCAGAAAACCGGAGAACGTCGCCTTCGAGTGGAGCTCCCCGCAGCTCTCGCCGGTGCTGCCCGGGCCCCCGGCGCCGCGGCGGGAGCCGCCTTGCCCTCTCCTCTCCGGCCCACGGGACGCTACCAATTTTCGGGAGTTTCTCGGCGCCCGCCGGCACGGCCTGCTTGAAGGGCAGCGGCGCAGGTTGTTTTGGGCAATGCTCGGTGCTGGGGGACAAACAGCTCGGCTTAGCAAGCGCGTCATGCTCCTTCTCTTTCTCTTTCTGCATATTTCTGCATTCCTTCTCCCCGTTTCTGCCTGTCTTCTCCAGAAGCCTGTGGAGCTCTCCATGCTCCCTCTCCCTCGCTTTCCCCGGGGCTGGATCGTTACCGCCTATCCCCCATTCCGGCCGGGCACAAAAGCGCTGCTTGGAGCTGCAGGCGGCTGAACCAGGGCGGAAAATTCGGTCGGACGAAGACAGAAAAACATCATTTTCCAGCGGGCACATACCGTCCCTGCCTCTACCTTTGATCAGATTGCTTGTTGAACAAGCTCAGAAAAACGCAGCAGACTTCGGCTTTATCCCTCCATCTGTATAAATGCAACGTCGGATAATGAAAAGATTCTTCTTACATACACCGAGCTGAGATTTCTTTCCAAACAGGGAGGATTTACGTACATTTGTAAGGAAACCCGTTCGCTGTGTAGCTGCAAAGAAAAATATTGTGAAACCGGGGAGGTTGACACAGCAGCTTCGCAAGTAGAACGTCGAGATGCTATCTTTGATCGTCCTCCCAATTGTGCTTAGCAATATATGTATGTACGCATCGCAGTGCCATCTGCCTAGGGCCAGCAGCAAAACAAAAGTTTCACATGGCAGCACAAACATCCTCGGCGGCTTCTGCAGCTCGGCAAGAGAGATACTGAAAACGTTTGTTCTTTTTTCAGACGGGAGATGTCAAGTTGGGAGAGGTCGAAAGTGCTGTAAGAGCTTAATAAACCTCGAAGGGAATTATCCAACTCCTGTTTCATTGCCTTATGCTTCACGGACACTTTACAAAGACCGAGAATAGTTCCGGTTTGATGCTAAAAGTTGTCATTATCAGCTATTTCCAGTATAAATAAGCACAATTTGATCAGCGTGCTAACGTACAACCCTCTGCTGCAGGTTCAGTGCTGGTCTTTGGGTGAATTAATTCAACCAGTGCAGTGTGATTAACTCATATAGTTGAGGGAATCGTGCCAAGATAGACACTCGGTCGCAGGGAAAGATATCTTTACATCAAAACGTATTTAGTTCCACTGAGGCTTTAAAAAGTAATGCAGAGCAGCACAGGCGGAGCCTGGCACTCGCCATCACAAAAATCCTGTTCTTCCCTTCCCAGCCAGTGCAGTTTAACAGGGGCTGAGTTTGAACAGATAGGAGGTAAAACCTGTGCCTGGCGGGGATGTGAGAATACACCATTCGCTTATTTCCAAGAATAATCCGGGGTCAAATAAAGAACAGCAAATGTTTTCGAGGCAGGCAACCAAACCGAATCATGGCGATTTCTAGGCAATTTTTTTGGTTGTTATTTTAGTACTATACTGTTCTGTTCACTAAAATCTTTTGTACACCCAGAAAGACTTCCAATGAGAACAAGATGTTTGTCCTTTAACACCACATTATCAACAGAGGTCATTTGCTAGTTTTCAATGAATTGTCCCTTTTATTTGTTTATTTCTTCGATCAGCTATAAATGAAAGTTATTCGTGTATATAAAACTGAAGTTTTTACTGTTGAAATTGAACTGTACATGTTTACTACAGGAAAAAATATCAACTCTTGTTTAACAAGACATTATACATCAATAAGCAATAACCTTGTGGAGGATTTGCAATCACCTGGTCTATAAAAACAAGCAGGACAAATAACAGCAATTTATATGCAAAAGTAATGATTTAATGACTATAAGCAAGACAAAGCAATAGAATTGTGCTTCTTTTGCAGACTGGAGACAATGAAATGTTTAACTACAATTTTCCCGTACAAACATGAAAATATATCCATATAGAATAAACACCCTCACAAATGTATAACTGATGGGTGATGAACACACACGAAGTTCGACCAAAGCAAAGCACAAACTGAAAAGTGTTCTGGGCTGTTCATATTTTATGGTGGAAAAGTTCCTTCTACTGAAAAAATAATACCCTTAGAAGCCTCTAATAAAATGCACCTATTTGCAGGCCATTAAAGAGGAGGCATTCTCCACAATTTATTGGAAATATTAAAGTACCTGTTAAATTTTAATGAAGTTAGTACTGTACCATATACATATATATTAAAACAAATTTAGATAAAATGCCTTCATCCAGCGACTTGCTGGTTCCTTAAAATTTATACCAAATAGTTTATGGCTTCTATAATGATTCCATGTGCTTTTTAAAAACACAATCCCACCACACCAAATAATAAAAAGGTAATCAAACAGGTCAAAGACTTCCATGTTGCTTAACTTTTTTTTTTTCTTCTTCACTGCATCACTTCAACATTTGGTAAAGTAAAAATATATCACTTGGAAAAAAAGACAAAGCCAGTAAAATCCTTCTAAGATTGCCAATTGCCTCCAGGTTATCAGAGACTTGGATGTGCTTTCCCAATACTGTAGCTCTCACACGCAAAGTGTTTCTTGCAGTATGAGCAAAGCTCAAACAGGCGGCATCTGCAAGGGTCGAACCAGTTTAGAAATTTAACAACCATATCATGAGTGCATGAAACACAATATTTTCTTTATAGCATTTATAAATATATCATACAATACTGTTTCCTGTTATGTCATATACCAATATGGCATTGTACAATAAGCATAATGCCATCTGATTCTTACAAAAGCGAATCATTTAAACAAGTCAGTAAATAAAACGGTAATACCCGCTTTTAGGCATACAGATTGTAAAACTGAAGTTTACTTTTCTTTTGATCAGTTCTGCGCAGCAACAGAGAAGTAAAAGATGCAACATAAGAATCAAAATGGCTAATACGCAAAAATTGTTATTCACAGTGACATGGCTACATATATGCATTATTCTATGCATATTCTTTCCGTTTTGTTGGATTTCAAGATGAAAAAGCACTTGCTTTCTACAGGTTCACAAAACAGCATAAGAACAATAACAATCGAAGAGAACGCAATGGAGGAGTTAGTCTGGATTAACAAACTACTTCCCGGGATTTGTATCGACTTCTGGAGACTCCCGAGTCCAGATGATGGGGACGGAAACAGCTCCACATCACTCAGAACAGGTGAAGGTGTAACTTTTGTTTGCTTCCCAGTCCTCTGAAAACAATTTACATTTCAATCTTGCGTTTCCATTAACGTCCATCCTGAATGTCACCTAGTCCGCCTTTTATAGCCAAGTTCAGTGTCACTACAAAAGAAAGCAATTTGGACGATAGTCACATGGATTAGCATCTATAAAGCTGTAATGGCATGGAGAGATCTATATAAAGGAGGGGCGGGGGCGGTAGCCTGGTTGGCGCATCAACCAGATGAAGTGGCCGAGGAGCCATTTATCGATGTTTTCCGCGCTCTGTTGGTAAAGGAGGACTGGTGGTTACTGCTGGGGCTGCTGCTGGTGCCGTTCATGGTGCTGGAGATGTGGGGGAACTGGGGGTGAGGAGACTGGACCGGCGTGCTGGGGCTGGGCAAACAGGAGGAGGTGGAGGGGATGCCTCCGGCCGGGCTGCTCGCCTTGTCGCTCCCAGAGTCACTTTCCAGCTCCCCGCTATTATTCAAGCCTTCCCTCTGGTGACTGATCTTCATCCTCTTGCAAGTAGGTCGGACCCGGTATTTCAGGGGGAGAGGCCCGTTCTGCAAGGCAAAGGGGAGACCCTGGTGAGCGCCCTCCCCAGGCCACGACCCGCACCCCCCCGGGAGGAGGCACGCTAGAGATACTCACCCGCCTCCAGGTATAGATGTAGGCAATATCCATTAGGGTGTAGTAGTCCTTCAGAGGCTCCTCTTCATACATCACATCGATCTGTTCAAGATACGAATCCTTGCGTTAAGGAGCATCCAGGCATTTACCCCTAGCGTACGACTGCTCTGAGGTGAAAGTAGCCCCGCTGCCATATATATCAGAAAATTGGAAAAATGCTATACCAAAATCAGCAGGCAATAGGGAATTTTCATATCTATTAGATATGTTTTAAATACATTAAGAAGCAATTTCTTGATACCTCAATATTTACAGCATTAAAAAATTAGTGTCACCAAACTCTCCAGATAAGTATTTTAAAAATATTGTTCATAATCCCACCAACGTATTGCACGCACCAGAAATACTTGGTAGTTAGCACTTGCTGGAACTGGCTGTAATGAGAAAATGAGTGCTAACCAGCATTAGCAGGCTTAGAATACCAAGACTGATTTTTTTAAAAAAATCACTCTTTCCCCATTTCTACCTGGAAAGTGTTAGGTATATCCATTTTACTCCGCAGGAACTTTCTTAGATGCATCACTGTCATTGCTGCTGGGCAGCGTAAGTATCTTTTGTCATTCACCTGATGGCATAGTAAAGAAAATCAGTCTACTGAGAACACACAATTACTCCCAGCAAAGTCGTATTCTAACGTTTTATGTCATTTAAAAAAAATGCCCTTTATTAAATTATGAACTATAATATAACAATTTCTGCTGCCTTAGAAGGTAAATTACAGATCCAGAGAAAATAACAAAAAATGCAACTAATTTTACACAAAGATTTGTATCTCATACTAAATCCCTTTTTAGGATATATATGCATTCCATATTAATTTTTAAATTAATTAATAATTTATTAAAATAAAAATTTTATTTTTAAAAGTTGCTTACATATACAGCTGTATGAAGGTGTTTTACCTCTTCTGTACCTAGCGCCATAATAGGACGTGTGCTTCTTTTGTTCTAGATACACATACCTATGTATTTTTCTCAGCTACAAACCTGCCTCAAAGAAGTTTGTGTGTGTTATGTTTCCTTTGGAGTAAAGGGAAGTTATTTACCTCTTCCTTTGATTTTTCTTTCTCCTTATTTCCTTTTCGTTCCAGTCTGTGAGAAGAAATGAAACAATTACAACAAATACTAAACATAGCTGCTATCAGTCAGGTAAACATAAAATATTGCCATTCTGGAACTTGCCTATTCTGGTCAAAGAATTCAATGGATAAGCTTATTATCTCGTCGTCTGTTATAATTCTTTTGTCTTCGTCAGCCACTTCTCCCCTGTCTTCATTAGAGCCATTGGCAGCTGCGCAGAAATTTCCACAATAATTTACATTTTGAAATTCAAATCAGGAAGAATGGCAATTCTCAGTAACAAGAAAAAAAAAAATCTCCACAGTAAAATTATGAATTAAAGCTACCTAACTGTTAAAACAATAAACTTTTATTATGCTGAATTTACTTCTTAGAATTCTGTCACGGTAATACATAATTTGTAAGTTAAAAAGGAAACAGCAAAGCATCTAGATCAATGCAACATTTATTAAAGTTGCGAACGAGAAGCTTTTACCATCAGCCGACGGATGAGCAGCATAAAAATCCCTTCTTCTTTTCATTTCATCTAGATGGAAAAGCATATATTTTTCTTTTAGTATTTACTCTGTAACTCCTGGTATCGATATAGGATAGCAGCTCTGGTTTTGTTTTTCTACTCTTAAGAAAAAAAACGATTTAACTACTTACTTTTGAAAAGGCCCGGTACTAGCTTGTATACAATATCCTGGAGAGTTTTATCTGACCTGAAGAAAGAACAACCCCAAAACATAAAATTAAGCAGACGAAGCGATATTTTAATCCAGGCGGCAGCTCCTCATTTATAATCTTTCACAACAATGAGGCATCTTCTACAAAGTGGGAGGCTAGTCATAAAAAGTTAACTTACAAGACCTTGTAATCAAACTAACACTGCTCTAAATACCGCTGTAAAACAAAACTCATCTGTGCTACCATGACTGAAAAATAATTCTCTCGGACTGAAGGAAGGCCTTAAAACTACATGTCCTCCCTAGAAAATAAAGAGAGCAAAAAGTAACACCGACAAAAAAATATTTCCGAAAGGAGAAGCATGCTTTAAAGGCTTTTGCCTCTTGGCTTGGAAAGTTTCAGCAAGAGTTGTCATGAGTAGGAGCTATGGCTGGAGTGAAGCATGTCTGGGAGAAATAGGAAGCGGAGGTAGAAACTGTCGGGATGGTACACGTGAGAATGGGAGAGGGGGAAGAGGCACTGCATCAGCGGTTGGCGTATGCAAAAAAAGACCAACAAAAACTTTCTGTCTCGCATCCAGAGAAATCTTCAATTTCAGGCAATGACAAAACTCCAAAGAGAGAGCATACACACGAGTAAGCTTGTAAATGGACAAGTCCTTTCAGATTTAAATCGCAGACGAAGAGATAACATCGACACGACTACTGCCGGTCTCCCCATATAAAGTAAAATAAGAGATGCAGGGTGCCCGCTGCATCTTTCTCCTACCTTATATTCAAAAGCGGTCGAGTTTTGTGAACTTGGACATCACAGATAGGACAATACTTGCTGGTCTCCAAGTAACGCACGATACAGGTCTTACAGACTGCAAGTCAAACACGAAAGCCTTTTAGTGATGGTCGTAGGTGACGCTCAGATATGCATAGATAGAGGTGCGATTTTCTAAACTATGCAAGCTAGAGCAAATCGTCCATTGTCAGCAGCGCGCTGCTTAAGCTAAACAAATACCCAAATAAGCTGCAATTACCATGAAAAGGAGACGCTTAGAGTACATATATTATTACTTTAACAAAGACCGTAGGGCCGTCGTCAGAAAAACTGCACCGCGGCCGGGCCACCTATTCCCCAGCCCGTCGGGGAGGCGGAGGGGCGGCGGTCCCGAGCACCTCGGGGGGTTTGGGCTTGGGGGGGTGGGGTGTGTTCCCGGGATGCCGGGAAAGGTGGGAAGCGGCGGGGGAAAGAAGCGGAACGCCCGAACGCACTTACAGGAGT